AAGTGTGCGGTGATTCTAAGATCGACGGCACTCATCTGCATGTCATACTGACTGTCAGTATTATTTCTCTTCCCCAGCAGACTCCAAGGGCATTTAAATTAAAGGTACAGTGTTCTGCACTAATATAAAGTCTCTCTGAAGCCTAGAAACACCCTTTTATAAGTTAAATTCGCAGCGAATATATTCGACTCGAATCGAAATTTTTCCACGAATTCGCCGAATTAGTCGAATCGAATTTTTGAATACTTCGCTCATCTCTAATGATAGCAGCCATGATGATACATGTTCAGCAAATACTTTGATTGGGTTCCTGGTGCTGTGTTTAAATTTTTGAGCGAGCAACAAGCACACTAAGCCCTGGATCACACTGGTGCGACTGGTCATGCGATTTGACATTTCCAAAGTCACACCAATTTTAAAAATAATTTCTGCACTGTTTCAGTAATTTCAGGTGTGACTTACATACCTGTAGACATCCGTGCATGAAGTCATTCAGATGTCAGGCAAGTCACACTTCAAATCGCACTTAGCTGCGGCTTTACAATTGCTCTACTTCAAGTGAAGTAGCGCAATTTCAAAGTCACATTCAGTGTGAACCAGGGCGAATAGTTCCCAAGTAGATTAGATTAACGTTCAGCATGGGGAATTTTGCCTAAGAACATAGGGGAGTTGATTTAATAAAACTAGAGAGTGAAAAATGTGGTGCAGCTGTCCATGGAAGCCAATCAGCTTCTAACTTCAGAGTGTTCAATCAAGGTTGACAAAAAATTAAGCTGCACCTATATGCTATAGATGGTTTGCACCTAAATGGAAGGGGGTCTGCTGAGCTGGGGGAGAGGTTTATGGGGAAACTGGAGGAGTATTTAAACTAGGATTGAGGGTGGAGGGTGAATTATTATGATTACAATATTAGATTATAATGGGGCAGACAGATCAGACAGGGGTCAGTCCTTATTAGTGAGTGGAATGGGGAAAGATGGGGGGAGGGCTATGGCAGATGATAAGAAGGTTTCCATGTTACAAACAACCAGTAGAATCGGTACCATTTGTATGAAAATAAAAAATATGCAAAATATGTGTGCATAAGGTGTCAATGAATTAAAGTGTTTGTTCACCAATGCCAGAAGTCTGCCAAGCAAAATAGGTAAGTTGGAAGCTTTGGTGCATGAAGAAAACTATGATTTAATTGGTATTGCTGAATCCTGGCTTCATTCTTCACATGACTGGGCCATTAATATCCCTGGCTATGTTCTCTTTCGGAGAGACAGGGTAAATAGGAAATGTGGTAGTGTCTGTCTCTATGTGAGAAGTGATCTCAGAGAGAGTGTGAAAGAGGACCTAGTTGATGGAGAGTGTGATGAGGCTGAAGCATTATGGGTGGAACTGTACATTGGGGTGTGTACTACAAAGGTAATCATTGGAGTCTGTTATAGGCCTCCCAGTGTTAATGAGGAGGTGGAGCCTCAGCTCCTTGCACAGATTAAAAGGGCTGCAAGTGCTGGAACAGTGATAATAATGGGGGAATTTAACTACCTGGAAATTGACTGGAGTAATGGTACTGCAGGAACAGTTAACAGGAAAACATTTCTAAACCTGCTACAGGACAATTGTATGGTACAGTTCATAGAGGACCCAACTCGGAATGATGCTCTGCTTGATCTGGTCATCTCAAACCATGCAGAGCTTATTACAAATGTCCATGTAAAAGAACATCTGGGTAGCAGTGACCATAACATGACTTTGTTTATTGTTAGCTGTAAACAACAAGCACATACGGGAAAAATAAAAATGATCATATAATTATAATTAGAGATGAGCGAATTATTCAAAAATTTGATTCGGCTGATTCGCCGAATTTGCGGAATAAATTCGATTCGATGCGAATTTATTCGCTGCAAATTTAACTTATTAAAAGGGTTTCTAGGCTTCAGAGAGCCTTTATATTAGTGCAGAACACTGTACCTTTAATTTAAATGCCCTTGGAGTCTGCTGGGGAAGAGAAATAATACTGTCAGTCAGTATGACATGCAGATGAGTGCCGTCGATCTTAGAATCACCGCACACTTCACTCATTTGGGCAGTCACGGGGCCAAAACCAGAGTGTGGAGCCACAGTGTGGTGGTGGAGGCAGCAGCAATGGGAGGCCGTACAGCACCCTATGACAAAATGGAACCCACCAGCAGTGTGAGGAGACCTGAAAGTGGCACATGGCAGAGTGTGGCGATGGAGACAGCAGCAATGGGAGGCCGTACAGGGACCCATGACACACTCTGGACCTGGCAGCAGCATGAGGAGGCGGTACAGGGGCCCATGGCAGAGTGGCGAAGCGTAAGCAGCTTAAATTGAAGGCCATACAGAGGCCTATGTTAAAAAGTCCCCCCAGCAGCAGTGTGGGGAGACGACTATCAAGAGTCCAATGGCAGAGTGGCGGAGCAGAAGCAGCTTCAATTGAAGAAGAAGAGGATGAGGATGAAGAAGAAGAGGATGAGGATGAAGAAGAAGAAGAAGATGAGGATGAAGAAGAAGAAGAGGATGATGAGGATGAAGAAGAAGAAGAGGATGATGAGGAAGAAGAAGAAGAAGAGGATGAGGATGATGAGGAAGAAGAAGAGGATGAGGATGAAGAAGAAGAAGAAGAAGAGGATGAAGAAGAAGAGGAGGATGAAGAAGAAGAAGAGGAGGATGAAGAAGAAGAAGAGGAGGATGAAGAAGAAGAAGAAGAGGAGGATGAAGAAGAAGAAGAAGAGGAGGATGAAGAAGAAGAAGAAGAGGAGGATGAGGAGGAAGAAGAGGAGGAGGAGGAGGAGGAAGAAGAGGAGGAGGAGGAGGAAGAGGATGAGGATGAAGATGAAGAAGAGGATGAAGAAGAGGATGAGGATGAAGAAGAAGAAGAGGAGGAGGATGAGGATGAAGAAGAAGAAGAGGAGGAGGATGAGGATGAAGAAGAAGAAGAAGAAGAAGAGGAGGATGAAGAGGATGAGGATGAAGATGAAGAAGAGGATGAGGATGAAGATGAAGATGAAGAAGAGGATGAGGATGAAGATGAAGAAGAGGAGGAGGATGAGGATGATGAAGAAGAAGAAGAAGAGGATGAGGATGAAGAAGAGGAGGAGGATGAGGATGAAGAAGAAGAAGAGGAGGAGGATGAGGATGAAGAAGAAGAAGAAGAGGAGGATGAAGATGAGGATGAGGATGAGGATGAGGATGAAGATGAAGAAGAGGATGAAGATGAAGAAGAGGATGAGGATGAAGAAGAAGAAGAGGATGAGGATGAGGAAGAAGAAGAAGAAGAGGATGAGGAAGAAGAAGAAGAAGAAGAGGATGAGGATGAGGAAGAAGAAGAAGATGAGGATGAGGAAGAAGAGGATGATGAAGAAGAAGAAGAAGAGGATGAGGATGAAGAAGAAGATGAGGATGAAGAAGAAGATGAGGATGAAGAAGAAGATGAGGATGAAGAAGAAGATGAGGATGAAGAAGAAGATGAGGATGAAGAAGAAGAAGAAGATGAGGATGAAGAAGAAGAGGAAGAAGAAGAAGAAGAGGATGAGGAAGAAGAAGAAGAAGAGGATGAGGAAGAAGAAGAAGAAGAGGATGAGGAAGAAGAAGAAGAAGAGGATGAGGAAGAAGAAGAAGAAGAGGATGAGGAAGAAGAAGAAGAAGAAGAAGAAGAAGAGGATGAGGAAGAAGAAGAAGAAGAGGATGAGGATGAAGAAGAAGAGGATGAGGAAGAAGAAGAAGAAGAAGAAGAGGATGAGGAAGAAGAGGATGAGGAAGAAGAAGAAGAAGAAGAGGATGAAGAAGAAGAGGATGAGGATGAAGAAGAAGAAGTAGGATGAAAATAAGAAGAATTCCAGTACAGCAAAAAGTGTATCTGCAGAGAGCTCCGCTATTTCTGACAGTTCTCTGACAGTTCCTTCACATTTACAGTGGTTGAAACATTGTATCTATTTTTTCCGAATAAAAACATCTGTATCCTAAATGGAAACAAATAGATACAATGTTTCAACCGCTGTAAATGTGAAGGAACTGTCAGAGAACTGTCAGAAATAGCGGAGCTCTCTGCAGGGACACTTTTTGCCGGCTGTAGAAGGGATGAAAATCGGCCCGATCGGGGAAAATTCGAATCGTGCATCCGAAGCTTGCTAATTTTCGGATTCGGCGAGAATCGAATTTTTCCTAATATTCGAAACGAATTCCACTTCGCCAAGTTCGATTCGCTCATCTCTAATTATAATGATATAACAGGATATGGAAAAAGGAAATAAAGGCCACAAAAATTGAAAACTAATGACAGATTACAATAGATAGCAGGACCAACCCCAAAAAAATCACATTCATTTACAAAATCATCAAGAGTGGGTGACTGGGTACAAAGAGAAGGCAAATTTATTAAATACCTTCTTCAGCTCTGTGTATACAAAGGAGCATGGGGGAGCTCTTGTCCATAATGGGCATGGTATTGACACCGCTCCAGTTGATCTACATTAGCTCACAACTGATATGATCCAAAATAATTAGACAGTATAAAGGTGAATAAAGCACCTGGAACGGATGGCATACACCCACGGGTCCTTAACTGGCTCCCGTCCTCCATATAAGGTAATGACGGGTGCAAGTTAGTTCTCTTGTTCTGGGGGGACGTCATATGGCATCCTCCCACTATAACCGCGCATGCGTGGCTCTGAGAGAGCGCATCGCGGCAATCAGTGGTGCGCTGTGCCCCTCGGATACAGCGGATCACCATCAACGGAAAGAGCTGAAGATGTTGGCTCGGTCATGTGATCAGCTGTGTCCAATCACAGCTGATCGCATGTAAATAGGAAATTCCGGTTATCTGGATTTCTCTCCTCACAAGCTGTCACGCTGACAGCTCGTGAGGAGAGGAGAGCCGGTAACTGGCATTCCTCAAAGGGGACATGTACACTGATCATCAGGGCACTGATGATCAGTGTGCCCTGATGATCAGTGTAGCCCCAGCAGTGCCACCTGTCAGTGTCCACCAATGCCAGCTGTCAGTGCTCATCAATGCCACCTGCCAGTGCCCATCAGTGCCTCATCAATGCCACATATCAGTGAATACCTGTGCACATCAATGCCATATATCAGTGCCCATCTGAGCTGCCTTTCAGTGTCACCTATCAGTGCCAGTCAGTGCCACCTATCAGTGCTGCCAATCAGTGCCTCTTATCAGTGCCTGTCAGTGCCTCCTATCAGTGCCACCTATCAGTGCCCATCAGTGCCCGTCAGTGCTGCCTATCAGTGCCACCTAACAGTGCCAGTCAGTGCCACCTAACAGTGCCAGCCAGTGCTGCCTATCAGTGCCACCTATCAGTGCAATATATGAGTGCTGCCTTTCAGTGCCCATCAGTGATGCCTTTCAATGCCCATCAGTGCCACCTACTAGTGCCTCCTCATCAGTGCCACCTATCAGTGTCTATCAGTGCAGCCTATCAGTGCCCATCACTGCAGCCTCATTAGCGCACATCAGTGAAGGAGAAAAATCATTTATTTACAATATTTTATAACACAAACTAAGAAAAAAACTGTGTTTTTTTTCAAAAATTTCAGTTGTTTTTGGTTTGTTTAGCAAAAAATAAAAAAACCTAGTGGTAATTAAATACCACCAAAAGAAAGCTCTATCTATCTAAAAAAAAAGATAAAAATTGAATATGGGTGTTGCATGACCGACCGTGCAATTGTCATTCAAAGTGTGACAGCGTTGAAAGCTGAAAATTGGCCTGGGCAGGAAGGGGGTATAAAGTGCCTTGTAGGCAAGTGGTTAAAAGAATTGAGCTCTGTCATTTCAAAGCCATTGTTTCTAATTTTTAGGGACTCTTTAATGACTGGCATAGTACCACTGGATTGGCAAAAGGTCAATGTGGTGCCAATATATAAAAAGGGGTCAAAATCTTTACCAAGTAATTGTAGACCCGTTAGTTTAACTTCTATAGTTGGGAACATATTGGAGAGTTTAATAAAAGATCACATAGATGAGGTCTTGCTGGAAAAAAATATTTTAAGCAACAGACAGCATGGATTCATGAAAGACAGAAGTTGTCAAACAAATCTGATTTCTTTTTATAAGGAGGTGAGCAAAACCTTGGACAGAGGGGTGGCTGTGTGTTCGTGGTATACTTGGATTTTCCAAAAGCGTTTGACACAGTTCCCCACACACGGCTAATGTGTAAGGTAAAGTCTACAGGCTTGGAAAAATCCATATGTAAATGGATAGAAAACTGGCTAAAAGATCCTATTCAGAGAGTAGTGGTTAATGATTCATACTCTGAATGGTCTGGGGTTGTCAGTGGTGTACCCCAAGGTTCAGTGTTGGGATCCTTACTTTTTATTATATTTATAAACTATATAGGGTCTGAGATTAACAATCCCATTTCAGTCTTTGCAGATGACACCAAGCTGTGCAGTGGAATAACGTCCTTACAGGACCTCCAATTTACAAGCCGACCTCAATGCACTGTGTAATTGGGCAACTATGTGGCAAATGAGGTTTAATGTTGATAAATGTAAGGTTATGCACTTGGGGGCTAAGAATATGCATGCATCATACATACTAGGGGGGTACAACTGGGGGAATCAATGGTGGAGAAGGATCTGGGAGTTCTGGTAGATCACAAACTTAATAATGGCATGCAATGCCAAGCTGCTCGTTCGAAAGCAAAATCCTCTCTTGTATTAAAAGAGGTATGACTCCAGAGAGAGAGATATTATATTATCCCTGTACAAATCATTAGTAAGACCTCATCTGGAATATGCAGTTCAGTTTTGGGCACCAATTCACAAAAAGAACATTGGGGAACTGGAGAAAGTACAGAGAATGGCAACCAAACTGATAAGAGGCATGGAGGAGCTCAGCTATGAAAAAAGATTAGAGGAACTGAATTTAATTCTCTCTTGAGAAAAAGAAATTAAGGGGGATATGATCAACATGTATAAATACATCAGTGGTTCATATAGTGAACTCGGTGTAGAGTTATTCACCCTGAGGTCATCACAGAGGACAAGGGGGAACGCTTTACGTCTGGAGAAAAAGAAATGTAATCTCCAAACACGGAAAGGTTTCTTCACAGTAAGAGCTGTAAAATGTGGAATAGACTCCCTCAAGAATTGGTTCTGGCCAGCTCAGTGGATTGATTTAAAAAAGGTCTGGATTCTTTCTTGGATACACAGAATATAACTGGATACTAACATTTATAGGTACGGTTGATCCAGGGAATATCTGATTGCCTCTCGGGGGGATCAGAAAGGAATTTTTTCCTCCTGCAGGAGCAAATTGTATCATGCTTTGCTGGGTTTTTTTGCCTTCCTCTGGATCAACTGTTGGTGTAGGATTATAACTTTTTTATTTTTAATGGTTGAACTGGATGGACTTTTGTCTTTTTTCAGCCAGACTAACTAATGTAATATGTAACCAGATTTTGTTTATTCTTAACTCCATTATGTTCTTAGACAAAGTTCTCCATGCTGAGAGAATGTTAATCTACTTATGAACTATTAGTGTGCTCCTTGCGTACTCAAAATACTAAATCTAGATTCTAAATTCTAAATCCACTTCTCTCTCTGCCAGCACTATGGTCATTGGTTCAAACCCCAATGATAGTAACATCTGCCTGGAGTTTGCATGTTCTGCCTGTGTGGGTTTCCTCTGGGTACTCCGGTTACCTCCCACACTCTAAAGACATACTGGTAGGTTAATCTCGGCTTCTATCTGAAAATTGTCCCTAATATGTGTATGTATGAATGAGTTAGAGACCTTAGACTGTACGCTCCTTGAGGGTTAGGGACTGATGTGAATGTACTATATATATATGAATTGCGCTGCATAAATTGATGGCGCTATACAAATACCTATAATTTAAAAAAAAATCTAAATCAACCCCAGTAGCTGCAGATTGCAGTTAAATATGTCCTTAGTTTGAAAAGGACTCAGAAAAGGTTAAACACATTATTATAGCACCATGGAATATTTGGAATATTTCAGCTATTAGATAAGGCAATAGAATTGAATTTATTCATCTAGTATTTCTAGACAAAGCCCAACTCTAGCCAATACATTATTTTTGTTTTAATCAGAGTAGGGAAGGGTTGTACCTCTGTTAGTTTTTATTGTTGTTTGTGTTAGGGTGATTTAAGGCAATTTACCTTAACTTCCTGTCCCAATGACAAGGAGACACAAGGACTTGAACTGATATAATAATCCCTAAAAGTAACATAAACAGCCACAAAAGCACATGTATTCAGTAGAGAAGGAAAGGGTTTGAAAATGTGTTTTAATTGCTAAATGTGTCTTCCTGTCCAGTTGACACTCTCCTCCCCCCATCTCTTTTTTTTTTTGTCTTTGTGTCACCTTAAAATTTCCTCATTTAGGATACATACAGCAATACAAACATGACTGTTCTGAATCTTACCCACTCTGATGAAAACTAAAAAAAAAATAATAATAATACATTTACCACAGGTTTCATTTATCTCAAAACTTCTTAGAAAATGTTATCATAATGAGGAGGATTTGTGAGTAGATGCCAATACTGTTCACTTAGTTATTGTACATATACATTATCCAATTTCAATATCTTAACATTTGGCATTTAGTTCATCAATCAATCATTTGTTTTATAGATTGTGACTGGTACATACACACTGCATTAGTAATGATCGACATATAAGTCATATAGGTCATATGCCACTATTTGCTTTGCATCCTCAATATTGATTAACCATATAAATATAGATCCTAAACCTAAAATATGTACAGTATCTGAAAGTAAAGACAAGGGCGATTACACCTAAAATATATTACTGTTTATAATAGCGCTCCAAATATTCTTGCCAAATATTAAAACATCTCCATTTAGGTGATGCTGGCCATCTTCCTAATGAGAGTATTATTTTCTGAAAACAGAATCAAGGTTATTGCCTTTGTTTACTTGTCTACGTACATGGCCAGAATCTCCGAAGCAATCTGATGATCAATAATATTTAGGAACTGACAATACTGTTATTTTCAGTAATCAGAGCCAGGTTCAATGTTTCCATTCCATTGATTGCAAGAGTCAAAAGCCAACATTCTCTATCTTCTGCAAATGTTGGAGTTGGTATATTGATTTTAGGCTTAGGAAAATGAGCATGGTTATTTCTGGCACAAGAACAGCAGCACAAAATAATTTGGCACATGAGGTTTCAACACGAATATTTTGTAAATAATGCAATGACAAGCAGCCTTGCTTTTGCCTTCTCTTGGGGTAGATTGCATCAATTTTTTTTAAGTTGCAAGAGTCTACACAGCTGTTGCTGGTATGAAATCAGCTTTATTGTTTTTTCAGTATTAAATGAAACATAATCAGCATTTCACATTATTGATTAATTTAGGCAACATGCCCACAGCAAAGAAACATAAAACCAAAGCCTAACTTTTGCATCTATTTATTACAGGTACTTACATAGAGCCACCAATTTATGCAGCACTTTACATATATATTGTACATTCACATCAGTCCCTAACCCTCAAGGGGCATACAGTCTAAGGTCCCTAACTTACATTTATACATATATATACTAGTGCCAATTTAGAAAGGATCCAATTAACTTACCAGCAGTGGCATCCCGAGGCAGTTGCAGGGGGGGGGGGGGGTCCGCACCGGGTGACACCGACCGCATGGGGTGACACCGGACCCGCTCCACAAAAAGGTAAATTGTAAAGCAAGCCGACGATCGTCGGCGTTCTTCACAACTTAGCTTTTCTTGGAGTGGGTCCGGTGTCACCCCGTATAGGTTGCATGCCGACAATACTGCAGGGATCGTCGGCATGCAACCTATACGGGGTGACACCGGACCCACTCCAAGAAAAAGTAAGTTGTAAAGAAAGCCTACGATCACTGCAGAATGGATCTGATCTGCGAATTGAGCATAATGGATTAGAGTCTGATCCATTATGATCAATCCACAGATCCGATCCATTCTGTGGGGATTGTCAGAGGGGGTGTCATCAGGTGTTACTGCACTGGGTGACACCAACCCTAGGGACGCCTCTGCCTACCAGCATGTCTTTGGAGTGTGGGAGGAAACTGGAGTACCCAGAGGAAACCCATGCAGGGACAGGGAGAACATACAATATACAGACAGGTGGTGCTGTGGTTGGGATTTGAACCAACAACCCGAGCACTGCCAGGTGGAAGTGCTAACCATTTAGCCACTGTGCTGCCCTAATCTATAACTATACAATAACAAAATCTCTAGCTAGCTAGCTAGCAGGAGATTGAACCTTGTATCTATAACCCCCAAAACAGTGTTTTTTATTTGTCATAAATGCCACCACATAGTGGCTCTCTACAGAATAACACACTTTGATATTCTCAGGTTTGAAAGCCTTTTAGAGACTGGGAGATATTTGAAGAAAACTAGCTCTTGTATCAACAATAGTCACAGGTTTAGCCAGAGAA